TGTCTGTGGGTGCTGTATGTGTGTGGGTGCTGTATGTCTGTGGGTGCTGAATGTATGTGGGTGCTGAATGTATGTCTGTGGGTGCTGTGTGTGTGTGTGTGTGCTGTATGTGTTTGGGTGCTGTGTATGTTTGTGGGTGCTGTATTTATGTGGGTGCTGTATGTCTGTGTATGGTGCTGTATGTGTGTGGGTGCTGTATATGTGTGTGGGTGCTGTATGTGTGTGGTGCTGTGTATGTCTGTGGGTGCTGTATGTGTGTGGGTGCTGTATGTGTGTGGGTGCTGTGTATGTCTGTGGGTGCTGTGTCTGTGGGTGCTGTATGTGTGTGGGTGCTGTGTATGTGTGTGCTGGTGTGTGTGGGTGCTGTATGTGTGTGGGGTTGTGTATGTCTGTGGGTGCTGTGTATGTCTGTGGGTGCTGTATGTGTGTGGGTGCTGTGTGTGTCTGTGGGTGCTGTGTATGTCTGTGGGTGCTATATGTGTGTGGGTGCTGTGTATGTCTGTGGGTGCTGTATATCCGTGGGTACTGTATGTGTGTGAGTGCTGTATGTGTGTGGGTGCTGTGTGGGTGCTGTATATGTGTGTGGGTGCTGTATGTGTGTGTGCTGTATGTGTGTGTGCTGTATGTATGTGTGCTGTATGTGTGTGTGCTGTATGTGTGCTGTATGTGTGTGTGCTGTATTGTGGGGGTGGAGGTGGGGGTACATTACTTGCTATCCCACCTCCCTTCTTACCTTTTGTAGGGAGGGGGGATCGTCCTGCTTTCCGTGCTTTCCCTGGTGGACCAGTGGAGAGTGAACTCTAGCTCTGCCGGTCCTCTCCTGCCTCCCTCCCTGCATGTGAGCCGGTGGGGAGGGAGGCTGAGAGCAGAGCCGGCGCTTGGATAGCGCCGGCTCTGCATGAGCCGACAGGGGAGATCCTGAGATCTCCCCTGCCGGTCTCAATATACATAGGCATGCCGCGGGGATTAGGGTGTGCCCAGGCACACCTGGCACACCCCGTGCGCACGCCTATGATTGTGTGTTTTTCTGTGTGCAAGGGGTGCATTGTGTGTGATGGATGTCAATCTCTCTCCCTCCCCCCCCATCAATTTCCTTCTCCCCCCCCTCCAATTTCCTTCTTCTCCCCCTCCCTCCCTCTCTCCAATTTCCTTCTCCCCCCCTCCCCTCCAATTTCCTTCTTCTCCCCCTCCAATTTCCTTCTTCTCCCCCTCCCTCTCAATTTCCTTCTTCCCAATTTCCTTCTCCCCCTCCCTCTCAATTTCCTTCCTCTCCCCTCCAATTTCCTTCCTCTCCCCGTCCCTCAAATTTCCTTCCTCTCTCCCTCCCTCAAATTTCCTTCCTCTCCCCCCTCCCTCCCTCAAATTCCCTTCCTCTCCCCCCTCAAATTTCATTCCTCTCCCCCCCTCCCTCAAATTTCCTTTCTCCCTCCCTCAATTTCCTTCTCTCCCCCCCTCCCTGCCTCAAATTTCATTCATCTCCCCTTCCCCTCAAATTTCATTCCTCCCCCTCAAATTTCATTCCTGACCCCCCCTCCCCCTCAAATTTCATTCCTTACCCTTAGGGGAGTAATTTCATTCCTCCCCCCCATGACACCCGGCGGCTCCCTCGCGCACTGTACTGATGCAGGAGCCGGAAGATGACGTCATCTTCCGGCGCCGGCATCAGTACTCGGCACGCGAGGGAGCTGAAGAGGAAGCACACTTTGTAGAGTGCTCCCTCGTGCGCCCGCCGGGGTCAGCAGGTCAGCCTCGGGGGGGCCCTGAGGTGACCGGCTGCTGAGCCCCCCAGGAGAAGAGGCTGGCCCAGTGGGTACATACCGGGGTCGCAGGGCCTCCTGCGACCCGGTATGTACACCACTGAATGTGGGGCCCGGACGACCTGAGCAGTCCAGGCCCCCCAGGACTGCCGGGCCCTTGACAACCGTTGCCCCGGGGCGGTAAGTCACTTTTTCCGCTGCCATCAGCCATCTCGTTTGGGAACCCCCAGGCAGTGTAAGCTCGTGTGTAGCGTTGTACTATTACCCACTGGACTACTGCAGGACGCTAAGCGGTGGCTAGCCCTGTAATTGGGCTGCTAGTGTGCATGGATAGTGTGGGTCTTCCGAGGTATTGAGTTGCGTCCAGGTGATTTGGGCGATTTTCCCGGCTGGGGTCTTGTGTTAGATTGGCTGCTGAACCTTGCTGGGCGGATTCTTTGGCGCCGGAGTGGGTTCAGGCTTCTGGGCGCCATTGTGGTTGTGTAAGACAATTTAGTCCCTTTGGTGGGAAGTCCCAGGAATGCTGTGGGCCTTTGGCAGGGTTCCACGTTGGGTCCCGCCGGCTACTTTCTTTGCAGTTTCTTGTGCTTGGTCAGAATGTGTGGCTTGTTCCAGTTTCCCTTGGTGACCATCCTCACAGTGCGATCCCTGGTTCAGTGCCCAGCGTGAGAGGGGAGCCGTTCAGGTGAGTGTCTGCTTGTTTGCATTGAGGCTTGTTGGAGTGCCCGGCTTTCTAGTTTGAGCCAAAAGGCATTGAAGATGACCTCCAGCTTGGTCTGTAGCTCGGACTGATGGAGGGTGAGGCACGCAGTGTTTGCCATGTTTGGTTCGTCGGCTACTGAAATAGTAGTTGGCTTGTTTGGTATTACCTCCCTTTCTCTCCCGGCGGAAGTAGTTCTCCCAGGTTGGACCGTGATCACCCCCAACAGTCCTGGGGGGAAGGGGGATAACGGGGCTTCTCAGGAGCAGTCACTGGGTAGCCCCATATCGGGGGGTCGGCCGCCCCTCCCGCCCGTTGCACCCAAGGCCGCATCCCGTCGTAAGCTGGCGGTTCGGCTCCTAACGGGTCTCCGACCCCTGCTCCAGCTCCAGCAGTGTCTGGCTGGTGAGTTGTCGCTTGGATCAGACCGTTTGGGGCAACATATGCCAGGGTTGTGGATGAGCTTGAGTGAAACGTGCCTTTCCTCCATGACGGTTAGGCCCCGCCCCCAGGATCAATTTTATTTTATGCTTTGCATGCTCTGCATTGGGAAGATTGTAATGGGGATGGAGGAGACTGCAGTCGGGTTAGCCCAGTGCCCACCATAATCAATTTTTATGCCAAATATTTATGCAGTTAGATATTTGTTAGATCAGGTTAGGTCAATTGCTGTTTGCGTCAGATAAAGTGTCTGTGTACCTGTCTGTCTGACTGTGCATTTGTCTGATTGTCTGTCTTGCTTCTCTTTGTTTGATCAGGTTAGATCAATTGCTGTTTGTGTCAGATCTAACATAGAATGTGAAATATTAACACATTTTTGCTGTAATAAGTGGGAGGGGTAGAGGGAAAGTGTACAGTGTCTTTGTACCTGTCTGTCTGACTATGCATTTGTCTGATTGCCTGTCTTGCTTCTCTTCTCCCTGCTTCTCTGCCTGTGATGCACAATGTGGATCTGAAAGCCAGTTCCAGACACTGTTGCACACAGCACATGCTTGCAAATCATCAATCCCACTGAAGGCTTGGAGATGAAAACAGGATCTAATGAAGTCTGCAGTAGCACGGAAGTTTTAGTAGCAATAAAAGAAACAAAAAAAGTAAGGAGAGCTTCTTGCAAGTTCTTGACTTTGTCATCAGCAGTATGTAGGTCTTGACAATCTATTACATGGCCACAAAATTATAGTTTGTTGCCCATGAATGCACACTTCAAGTTGACCTTCAACCCATAAGTCATTAGTCACTGCAGTATTCTCTCTGCATCGTGTTGGTGTTCTTCCTCATGTCGTCTAAAACAGTATTCCCCAATCCAGTCCTCATGGACCACCAACAGTCCAGATTTTGTCAGTATGTCCATTGGAATAAAACAGGGAAATACATAAATCCTAGACTGTTGGTGGTCCATGAGGACTGGGTTGGGGAACAGTGGTCTAAAAGGCATTGAACATAGGCTAGTCCATTTAATAATTCCTCCATTGTGTGTTGCCAGATTGCTGGTGCAGGAGTAATACCAAAGACTATATGATTATATTGAAATAAACCACAGTGAGTATTGATTGTGGGTAATTTGAAAGATTCTGGATGTACTTCTAGTTGAAGGTAAGCATTCTTTAAATCAAGTATTGTAAAATGCTGTCCCGCAGTTAACTTAGCAAAAATCTCTTCCGTCCTTGCTAAAGGATACTCATCTACTTCAAGTTGTTCATTTAACACCATCCTAAAGTCTCCATATATTCAAATCTGTCCATCTTTCACTTGTGATGATGCCTTGTTATTTTTTTTTATTTATTACCCAATTTAAAATAAAAATACCTATATAAATAAAATGCCTGTTAATAAATATAAAAAACTGAAAATGAAAATAAGAAAGGCCGCAACACCAGACTTATGTAGATAGGAATTTTATTCCACCAAGAGTGGATCCAGCAATGTTTCAGAAGGAGGCCTTATGAACATGCACCCAGATACTCTTAGTGTGTCTATTCCCTTCATTTGTTTTTTCACATCATGCTGTGTTACTTTTACAAGCCAACTTTCTGTCAAAGAGAAAACCAGACCCATTATTCAAAATATAGCTTATTCAGTTAATTCTGCAGAGGAAATCCATGAGACTTGCTTTAGTGCACAGAGATAAAGCACAAAGGCATAACTTGATACTAAGTTTACCACAAAGTTAAATGAGGCCATATTGTCAGCAATGCAAATTAGGTCCAATACACATTTTCAGGGGTGAAATCGTTTATGGCGTTTTCACATTTAAAGGAACACACTAGGCACCTGGCACTTCTTAACCAAAGTTGACTCTGCTAATACAACTTTTTTTTTCGTAGTAAAGTCACTCTTGTCTTATTTTGTGAATTAGTGGTAAAATGATCAGGGAAAAAAAGAGGCAAAAAAAAAAATGTAATAAATAAAATAGGGAAATTAATTAAAAAAAGAAAAAAAAGACCAATTATATTGATATATTGCAGAAAATGAGGAAAAAAGCACCAACATATAAAGTGTGTTGTAATGGTTTTATATTTAAGAAAATTACATATCACACAATACCCACTTTTTTTTTTTAAATCTACATAGCCCCCTTTATTTGGCTGTCTGAGGTCTGTTTCCAATGCTAGGCCTTCTGTTAGCCTTCTTGCAAATGCTATGGGGTAACCCCTCCCACCAATAACAGATTAGCTGTAAATAAAGCAGACATTTTCCCACTGAACTACAACTCCCGGAATCCTCTGCGAGCCGTGCAGCAGGCGGAGCATACTGGAAGTGTTCGTCCAATAAGCAACTGACGAATATAGACGTCATCTCCTACAGGAAACACGCTGATTTTTTTTTACTTTCGAAATATAAAAAAAAAAAAAAAAAAAACTTTATTGAGACAGCGCAAGAAAAAAAAAAAGAAAAGATAAACAGCAGCGGGTTTGAGTGAGCGCTGCTCTGTGTGAGCCCGGCTTCTATGTGAATGAGAAGCGGGAGCGCGAGGCTCGGGAGCGCGCGCTTCTCGTCACGGTAACGGCTCCGGTGCACGATGAGCCTGTGCGGGAAGGAGCTCGCCAACCTGCTGGGCATCATGACCGAGGAGGCCTGCGGGAACACCTTCGAGGGCCTGTCCACGGCCTTCCACCACTACTTCTCCAAGGCCGACCACTTCCGGGTGGGCTCGGTGCTGGTCATGCTCCTCCAGCAGCCCGACCTCCTGCCCAGCTCCCCGCAGCGGCTCACCGCGCTCTACTTGCTCTGGGAGATGTACCGCACCGAGCCCCTGGCTGCCAACCCCTTCGCCGCCATCTTTGCCCATCTGCTGAACCCGCCTGCCGGGGAGGAGGCCGAGAGGCTGTTGTCAGGTGAGGCTGGGGCCCAGGGGGGAGACCAGGCTGACATACCTACATAGCTACCTAGCTGGGACAGGACAGCCTGCTCTGTTTACATTACCTTAGTAGGTTTAAGGGAGGGGGGGAGGGGACAACTTAATCTATGTTTTGAAACTTATTTGTAATAAAGAAAAACAACTTTTTTTTTCAGGTGAGGTCATCAATCCTAAATTACCTGGTGCCCAATCAGATACTTCAAAATTCTCCGCAATCCACCGATCAATGCACGGGACACGCAGCCTAACATCCTCATACTTTGCATGTTGACACAAGTCACATAGATTAAAGGGAATATATAGTGTCAGGAATACAAATTTGTAATCCTAACACTATAGTGCTCTCTGGACCCCCAGACTCATAAAGGTTTTCAAAAAAAAAAATTACTCATCCGCTGATGTCCTTCGGTTCTGCGTTGGTGCTTCACCTCCTCGGATGTCATCCCATGAGGGGCTAATGCGCATGGGCGGTGAGCTCGTTAGGCCCTACCCATAGGAAAGCGTTGCCTCAATGCTTTCCTAAGAGGATTTTACTGACACTGGATGCCCTCGTGCAGAGTGTCTGGGTGACTACAGTCATAATTATGAAATCTATATATTTTGGAAGCCTCTAGTGACTGTTTATCTGACCGCTACTCTTAGGTGTAGAAGCTGAAAAAGTTAACTGCACTGTTTTAACTTTTATGACTGCAGGCCAAAATTTTTTCATTAAAAGAAAACTCTGTAAAAAGTAAAGGTACACTATAGGCACCCAGACCACTCCAGCTAATTGAAGTGGTCTGGGTACAATGTTCCTGTACCCTAAAGACTGCCTCCAATGGCTGTCAGACAGCCACTACAGGCACTTCCTTCTTGTTAAGCAACTTTTGGTCGCCTGACGTTGGATGTTCTCATGCTCTGCCTTAAAAGAATCATTTCGGATAATGAGACTTTTGTCAAACGCATGGATGAAATGCATGGGGGACTTCAGAGCAAGGGGCTATTCCCAGGACCTATTATGGAATGCAAGGGATAGAGTAACATATTTAGCAACTCAGAAGGTGACGGTGGTTAGAAAGAAAAAACAAATAAAAAACAAAACAAATGGAATGTATCTGTGTGGTAGTTGCGTCAATTGCAACAATGTCATTAGAAACCACTCTTTCACATTTGTTAGGGCTACAAAATTGAATTACATTCCTATATGAATTTCCAATCAGACTGTGGTCTATTTGATTAAATACCCTTGTGGCAAGGAGTATGTGGGACAAACCACTAGACTTTTTTGACACACGCTTTGGTGAGCACAAAAGTGCTATTAGAAACCAACGTACTACTTTATCTGTGGCAAGACTTTTCAATAAGATGGGTCACCGGGAGTCATAGTTAAAATTCCAGGGAATTTAACATGTTAAAAATCCGCCCAGGGGTAGTGATTAAAATTCCTTAAACGAAGAGAGATGTACGAGATGTAACTTTATCTTCATTCATGCCACCCGGATATAAAGACTTTACTTGTTTTTTTTTTTTTTTTTTAATTCTTTATTTTTGTAGTGCATAAGCTTAGTACAATCGCTTGTGATGTACCCCAAAGGCAATCCTCCAGCGCATTATAAAAAATTTAAACATAGAGGTACAGGGTTAATCTTGCACATTTTTATAAGGTTGAGTTATGCGGTATACGGTATTGATTGTCATTACTTAAGAATATTCATAAAATAACTTAGCTTAACTTTCTGCTCCTGGAATAAAATTTAAGATGCTGTGTCTAGTGTAATGGTGACTATACCAGCAAACTAGTGTAGTTGATTCAGATTTGTGAGTCGCTTAATAGAATCATGTTTTTAATAAGCTGGATTAAGATGCTATGGAGCGAATGTTAGACTAAACAGTGAAATCGTTAGGATAATAAAGTAAGGTGGTCAACGCTTAACGGTGCTAGGATAGCTTTGCTAGTGTAATTGAAGTGTGGCCTTATGGTTTGCAATGTAACAGTAGCTGGGTCGTGTGTCTTAGCCTACAGGTTGTGCTATTATTGTGTAGGCTATGATGCAATAAAAAAAACAAGTAACTTTGCTATGTCTTGCCTACAGTGTAGTGTTACATTACTACACTGTCTAAACATAATTGCATTCTGTTTTATTGATGGGTAACTAGACATCAAGTCTGCGATGGCATGGGGGTATAGTCCGCCTTTGGCCCTATGTAGCCATGTGAGTCCGGGTATTCCGCTGTTGCAAGATTTTGGAACAGTTCAGGCCAGAAATATCTGTGAGGGACTTTACTTGTTTTTAGTTGAATTGTCAATATATTGAGCAGCAGGAAATGCTAGCAGTATGCTTGGTTGTATAGGGAGAGGTATTAGCAGTAGGAAGAGGGAAGTGCTCATGCCATTGTACAGAACACTGGTGAGACCTCACTTGGAGTATTGTACGCAGTACTGGAGACCGTATCTTCAGAAGGATATTGATACCTTAGAGAGAGTTCAGAGAATGGCTACTAAACTGGTTCATGGATTGCAGGATAAAACTTACCAGGAAAGGTTAAAGGATCTTAACATGTATAGCTTGGAGGAAAGACGAGACAGGGGGGATATAATAGAAACATTTAAATACATAAAGGGAATCAACACAGTAAAGGAGGAGACTATATTTAAAAGAAGAAAAACTACCACAACAAGAGGACAGTCTTAAATTAGAGGGACAAAGGTTTAAAAATTATATCAGGAAGTATTACTTTACTGACCGGGTAGTGGATGCATGGAATAGCCTTCCAGATGAAGTGGTAGAGGTTGACACAGTAAAGGCGTTTAGGCATGCGTGGGATAGGCATAAGGCTATCCTAACTATAAGATAAGGCCAGGGACTAATGAAAGTATTTAGAAAATTGGGCAGACTAGATGGGCCAAATGGTTTTTATCTGCCGTCACATTCTATGTTTCTATTTGTCTACTTGTTTTGTTCTTATTTTTAATTGTTTTCGCTACAGTTCTCTAGTATTGTGGGAAAAGCGGATGGACAAGGAAGGTTGGGGACTGAGTTATAACCTCTGAAAAGCGGTCTGCTTTTTAAGCAGTCTACTTAGAACATATGGAAAGGACTCTTTGTGCATTCAAAATTATTGCCATACTTTGATTACTTATTTCTGATCTATTTTCTTTTTGTCCTTACATCTATGGGTCATTGGGTGACTTGTTGCCACCTCTGGCCCCAGTGATCTAGTGACATTACTATATTTTCTATTTTACTTTTTGTCTTCCAATCTATGGGCTCTGTGAGATTTAGATTCCCTACAGACCCTATAGATCAGTTAACATATGTCTTCTATTCATGCATATATATTTTTACATCTATGTGTATATACACTGCTCAAAAAAAATAAAAGGAACACTTAACCCCTTAAGGACACAGCTTCAGAAGCTTGACTTACGCTTAATGACACAAGCAATTTTTGCATTTTCTTGCTGTTTGCGTTCAACTGCAATTTGCATCTCTCTCATTTATTGCACCGACACATATTATATACTGTTTTTTAAAGGACAGAAAGGGCTTTAATTTGATATAACACATATATATATATATAAATGCTTACTTATTATAAAAAAAATACAGAAAAATGCAAAAAAAATGAAAAATATTGTTTTTTTTTACAGTTTTTGCAATAATAATGTGTGCATAATTAGTGCAGGTTAAGGAAAGTAATTAAAAATAAATTTATTTATTTGTTCTGATTTACAGAATATATAATGTGTCTGGGATTTTAAGTTTTTTTTGGTAGTTACAGGTCACAAAGCACAAGGAGTAAAATAAACTTTTTAATGTGGAGCGATTTTAGAATTTGGTATGTTTGTCTTGTAAGCTTAATAGCCATAAAAGAAAACAAAATTGCCACACAAAAGTATATATTTATATAAAGTAGACATCACGGGCTATTTACCTAAGGTTGTTTTGACACTTTCTACGTAGCCATTTCACCGCCAACCTCTGCTAAATATTGGAGTAAAATTGTGTTCTTTTTGGTTTTTGGCACACAAACTTATAACAGAGAAATTCTCGTGTATATTTTGTAAAGTTGGTGTGTGCTATTCCTGTACAAAGTTTTATTTTGTGTTCAGTTACATCTGCTGAGTAAAATGACACCCCCATTGTATGTCTTTTGCACTATTTCGTGAAGTTACAGTGCCATACAGGATACCTGTCCTTTTCAGTATTCACAGTAGAATTTTGAGAGATGAATTTAATGAGCCTTAGCTTCCATTTGGGGTATTATAACAGTTTGACTGTTCAAAAACCCCCACAAAGGCCTACCATTTGTAAAAGTAGACACTCCAGGGTATCTTATAAGGTGCATATTGTGCCTTAACATGCCCCCATTTTTTCACCAATATATGCCAAAGTATGTGGTAAAAAATAATTTTGTGCATTTTTTACATACGGATTGCATTTTTGCTGGGCGTTTTGTATATTTCATATGTGCCACTAAGTTCAAACCCCCCAAATTATGCTCAGCTAAGTCTTCTGAGTAAAATGACACCCCATATGAATGTCTTTGTCACTATTTCGTGAAGCTACAGTCCCATATAGGAGACCTGTCCTTTACAGTATTCACAGTAGAATTTTGAGAGATGGATTTAATGAGCCTTAGCTTCCATTTGGGGTATTATAACAGTTTGACTGTTCAAAAAACCCCCACAAAGGCCTACCATTTGTAAAAGTAGACACTCCAGGGTATCTCATAAGGTGCATATTGTGCCTTAACATACCCCCATTTTTTCACCAATATATGCCAAAGTATGTGGTAAAAAATAATTTTGTGCATTTTTTACATACGGATTGCATTTTTGCTGGGCGTTTTGTATATTTCATATGTGCCACCAAGTTCAAACCTCCCAAATTATGCTCAGCTAAGTCTTTTGAGTAAAAATACACCCCCAATGAATGTCTTTGTCACTATTTTGTGAAGCTACAGTGCCATATAGGAGACCAAGCCATATCCGCTTTTACCAAACTTTGAATTTTGACGCTGGGCCTATGTGCAATTTCCAAGCATCTTCGCAGGTTTTAAATTCAAACTACCCCACAAAGGCCTACCATTTCTTAAAGTAGACACCCCAGGGTGTTTCAAAAGGTATAGTTTGAACCTTAGCGTGGGATCATTTTTCCGCTAGCTTGTACCAGATGTAGTGGTAATAAGCGTTTTTTCTGCCTTTTTGACATACAAAGTGAGTTTGCACAGTATATTTTGCAAACCTTATGTGTGCTACGACTGTATAATACTTCATATGTTGCTCAGCTATGTCGGCTGAGTACAGCAATACCCCCGTATGTACCTTTGCCAGGTATGTGTGGACATCGGAGGGGCACATTTGGGACACAGCCATTCCAGTATTTTTCAAACTTTGAATTTTATGCTGTGCCTATGTCCCATTTTAGAGTATTTTACCAGGCTATATAATCCAAATTCCCCATAAAGCCATACCATTTCTTAAAGAAGACATCCCAGGGTATTTCAAAAGGCATATTTTGAACCTTAGCGTGGGATCATTTTTCCGCTAGCTTGTACCAAGTGTAGTGGTAATAAGCATTTTTTCTGCCTTTTTGACATACAAAGTGAGTTTGCGCAGCATATTTTGCAAACCTTATGTGTACTATGACTGTATAATACTTCATATGTTGCTCAGCTATGTCGGCTGAGTACAGCAATACCCCCGTATGTACCTTTGCCAGGTATATGTGGATGTTGAAGGGGCGCATTTGAGACGCAGCCATTCAGTTTTTTTCTAACTTTGAAGTTTTACGCTGTGTCCATGTTCCAACTTGGAGTAGTTTAGACGGTTGGTTATTGAAACTTCCCCACAAACACATACTATTTATTAAAGAATACACCCTGGGGTAATTCAAAAGGCATATTTTGAACCTTGGCGTGGGATAATTTTTTCTCTAGTTTGTTCCAGGTGTAGTGGTAATGAGCGTTTTTAAAATGTATTTTTTTACTTTTTATAACTTTTTTACTTTTAAAAACTAGTTTTTAAACTTTTGTTTTGCTTATAAATTTTTTTTAAACTTTCCTAAACTTTCTTAAAACTTTTTTACAGATTTAACATTTTTCTAAGCTTTTTTTTTACCGTTAACCCCTAACTAGCAGTACGCAGCACTAACAGTAAATTCCCCATTTTCCCATAACTCCCACCCACCCCAGCTAGCAAAATATATAGTTATAAAATATTTAAATTAAATAAATTGAACCCCTGAGGGTTAAAAAAATGAATAAAAGTTAATCCTCAGGGGTTAAAAAAAATTAGATCACAGTATAATACTGTGATCTCTATTTGATAGCTGTAGGCAGTGATCGACTGGCAGGGAAGGGGTTAATTTTTATTTGGACTAGGTAAAGTGTGGTTTTTTTTTGTTTTTTTTTACTTAAATGTTATTAAAACATTTTTTAAGTTTAATTTTTAACTTTTTAAAGTTTCTTTTAAAACTTTTTTTTAACGTTAACCCCTAGTTAGCCTAACGCCAAATCCCTCAATTCCCCACTAACTTCCACCCACCCCAGCTATCTAAATATATAATTTAAAAATAATTTAATTAATTAATTTAATTAATTTAACACCTGAGGGTTAAAAAAAAAAGAATTAACCCTCAGGGGTTAAAAAAATAAATCACATCATAGTAAAATGTAATCCCTGCCAATTGATCACTGTAGTCAGTGATCAATTGGCAGGGAATGGGTTAATTTTTTATTAAAATGGGTAAGGGGGGGGACACTTTAAATATACTTTATTTTTTTTAACAGCAGGGGGCAGGATCATCACTGATCCGGCTCACTGCACTTCACACAGAACCCGGAAGTGCAGGGAGCCGGTAGGTGAGTATACAGAGCACATGTGCTCGCTCAGACTTGCGGTCAGAGCGAGCACATGTGCTGGGCAGCCTGACCGGGTGCTCCCGGTATGCCTCCAATGCAGAGGCATACCGGGAGCACCATTAACCCCGCGATCGCTGCGATAGCGGCGATCCGGGGTTAATTTTACCGCGTGACGGACGAGGTCCGTCACCCGTCGTTAAGGGTCTCCCCTGTGTGACGGACCTCGTCCGTCACCCGTCCTGAAGGGGTTAAACAACTCAATGTAACACCAAATCAATCACACTTCTGTAAAATCAAACTGTCCACTTAGGAAGCAACACTGAGTGACAATCAATTTCACATGCTGTTGTGCAAATGGGATAGACAACAGGTGGAAATTATAGGCAATTAGCAAGACACCCCCAATAAAGGAGTGGTTCTGCAGGTGGTGACCACAGATCACTTCTCAGTTCCTATGCTTCCTGGCTGATGTTTTGGTCACTTTTGAATGCTGGCGGTGCTTTCACTCTAGTGGTAGCATGAGACTGAGTCTACCACCCAACACAAGTGGCTCAGGTAGTGCAGTTCATCCAGGATGGCACATCAATGCGAGCTGTGGCAAGAAGGTTTGCTGTGTCTGTCAGCGTAGTGTCCAGAGCATGGACGTGCTACCAGGTGACAGGCCAGCACATCAGCAGCAGGACCGCTACCTCCGCCTTTGTGCAAGGAGGAACAGGAGGAGCACTGCCAGAGCCCTGCAGAATGACCTCCAGCAGGCCACACATGTGCATGTGTCTGCTGTCAGAAACAGACTCCATGAGGGTGGTATGAGGGCCCGACGTCCACAGGTGGGGGTTGTGCTTACAGCCCAACACCGTGCAGGAAGTTTGGCTTTTGCTAGAGAACACCAAGAATGGCAAATTCACCACTGGCGCCCTGTGCTCTTCACAGATGAAAGCAGGTTCACACTGAGCAAATGTGACAGACGTGACAGAGTCTGGAGACGCTGTGGAGAAAGTTCTGCTGCCTGCAACATCCTCCAGCATGACCGGTTTGGCAGTGGGTCAGTAATGGTGTGGGGTGGCATTTCTTTGGGGGGGGGCACACAGCCCTCCATGTGCTCACCAGATGTAGCCTGACTGCCATTAGGTACCGAGATGAGATCCTCAGACCCCTTGTGAGACCATATGCTGGTGCGGTTGGCCCTGGGTTCCTCCTAATGCAAGACAATGCTAGATCTCATGTGGCTGGAGTGTGTCAGCAGTTCCTGCAAGACGAAGGCAATGCTGCTATGGACTGGCCCGCCCGTTCCCCAGACCTGAATTCAATTGAGCACATCTGGGACATCATGTCTCGCTCCATCCACCAACGTCACGTTGCACCACAGACTGTCCAGGAGTTGGCAGATGCTTTAGTCCAGGTCTGGGAGGAGATCCCTCAGGAGACCATCCGCCACCTCATCATGCACAGGCGTTGTAGGGAGGTCATATAGGCACGTGGAGGCCACACACACTACTAGGCCTCATTTTGACTTGTTTTAAGGACATTACATCAAAGTTGGATCATCCTGTAGTGTGTTTTTCCACTTTAATTTTGAGTGTGACTCCAAATCCAGACCTCCATGGGTTGAAAAATTTGATTTCCATTTTAATTTTTGTGTTATTTTGTTGTCAGCACATTCAACTATGTAAAGAACAAAGTATTTCAGAAGAATATTTAATTTATTCAGATCTAGGATGTTGTTTTTGTGTTCCCTTTATTTTTTATTTTTTTTTAGCAGTACCGTGTTTCCCCGAAAATAAGACCGGGTCTTATATTAATTTTAGTCACAAAAAACACACTAGGGCTTATTTTCAGGGTAGGGCTTAGAGCCAGTCTGTCAGCCGGTGTCCGCGCTGTGTAACCCCCCAGAGACCCTCACCTCCCTCCCTGTAATACTCTCCCCCCTCCCCCTCCCCGTAATACTCTCCCCTGTAATATCCCCTTCCTCCTTTCCTGTAATCCTCCCCTCCCCCCTCTCCAATCTTCTCCTCACCTCCCCTGTAGCGTGGCCGAGCTCCTATCCGGTCCGCGACCCGGCCGGACTGACAGGAAGTGCACACCCAGTGTGCACTTCCTGTCAGTCCGGGCGGGTCGCGGACCGGAAAGGAGCTCGGCCACGCTACAGGGGAGGTGAGGCAGTGCGGCAGCCGTCTGAGCGCTCTCTATAGAGCGCTCATGCGGCTGAGGCATTTAAAGGGCCGGCAGCCGCCGGCCCTGCCTAGGTCTTATTTTCGGGGTAGGGCTTATATTGCAGCCCACCCCGATAATCCAGTTAGGGCTTATTTTCGGGGTAGGTCTTATTTTCGGGGAAACACGGTATGTTTTATTTATGTGTGTGTGTGTATATATGAACTCAAAGATCCAAGCCTTTTATCTATGTACACAAATTGCCTATTTCATTAATATTGTTCACAAATCTGTGTTAGTGATAGTCCATCCTGGACCTGGAACATGCTGTCGTATACGCTGATCCAGAGCATCCCAAATTTGCTCAATGGTTAACAAATCCGGTGAGTATACTGGCCATGCAAGAACTGGGATGTTTTCAGCTTCCAGGAACTGTGTACAGATCCTTGCAACATTGGGGCCATGCATTATCATGCTGCAACATGAGGCGATGGTCCTGGATAAATAGCAAAACAATGGGCCTCAGGATCTCATCATGGTATCTTTGTGCATTCAAAATGCCATCAATAAAATGCACCTGTGTTCGTTGTCCATAACATACGCCTACCCATACCATAACCCCCACCGCCACTCGATTCACAATGTTGACATCAGCAAACTGTTCACCCACATGAGGCCATACACGCTGTCTGCTATCTGCCCTATACAGTGGGAAAAACTGGATTCATCCGTGAAGAGAACACCCCTCCAAAGTGCCAGAATCCATTGAATGTGAGCATTTGCCCACTCAAGTCAGTTAAGACGAACTGCAGTCGGTTCGAGACCCTGGGCATCAGCTCTGGTGGACATTCCTGCAGTCAGCATGCCAACAGCACGCTCCCTCAAAACTTGTGACATTGTGCTGTGATAAAACTGCACATTTTAGAGTGGCCTTTAATTGTGGCCAGCCTATGGTACACCTGTGCAATAATCATGCTGTCTAATCAGCATCTTGATATGCCACACCTGTGAGGTGGATGGATTATCTCAGCAAAGTAGAAGTGCTCACGAACACAGATTTAGACAGATCTGTGAACAATATTTGCGTGAAATAGGCCTTTTGTGTACATAGAAAGTCTTAGATCTTTAGATGAGTTCAGCTCATGAAAAATGGGGGCAAAAACAAGTGTTTACATTACAGTCCAGGAAAACCTCCACTAGAAACTCCTCAGACGGCTATTAGAGGTGCTTCCTGTGGCATTGCTGCACAGTGTGCAGCACTGCTTTTCAATGCCTCCTCCCTCTACATGGAGACACTAAACATTTCTAATAGAGATGCATTGATTCAATGCTGATTGGTCAAGGCTGCCTCCTTGACAGTCTCAGCCAATCTTGTGGGAAAGCATTGGAATTGGATTAGAGAATCACTTCTGATGATGTCAGCAAAGAAAGCAGATCAGGGGCAGAGCCAGCAGCTGCAGACTTCAACAAAAATAAGATATTGGTATATTTAGGGGTACATGGGACTCGATAAGGGATTTTAACGCTATAGGGTCAAGAATACATGTTTGTGTTCCTAACCCAGTAGTGTTGCTTCAATATGTGATTAAAGGATCACTATAGGGTCAGGAACACAAAGATGTATTCCTGACCCTATAGCGTTAAAACCACCGTCTAGCCCCTCATGCCTCCATAAATATCGAAAAATCTTACTGTATTCAAGCCTGAAGCTGCTGTCTCTGCCACTGTCTGCCTTTAAAAAAACAAGCAGTCTGCTAACATCATCAGAAGTGGTGGCATGACCCAATTACATTGCTTCCCCATAGGATTGGTTGAGACTGACAGGCAGATCAGGGGCAGAGCCAGCACAATTCAAACACATCCCTGGCCAATCAGCATCTCCTCATGAATTGAATCAATGAATCTCTGAGGAAAGTTCAGTGTCTGCATGCAGAGGGAGGAGAAACTGAATGTTTGGATGCATTTTAGGCAGTCATGACCTAGGAAGGATCTCTAACATCCATCTGAGGAGTGGCCAGTGAAGTTATCACTAGGCTGTAATGTAAACACTGCATTTTGTCTGAAAAGTGTTTAAAGCAAAATGCCTGAAGGTAATGATTCTACTCACCAGAACAAAATCAATAAGCTGTAGTTGTTCTGGTGACTATAGTGTCCCTTTAATACTTCCCCTGACGAATTAGGTTCTAGTATGAATACATAACTTTTTAATATTGGAGTGAATGTTCTTACGAGGGAGCACTCAGTCAGCGCACTGAATAAGAAGACATTCCCGACGTTTTAGTGCCTCCAATAACTTGGTTTTATTGGAGCCGAGTTGATTGACTTTTTTTGGTTGTTACTGTGGTTACGTTATATTGGTAAGCGTGATGACATCAGACCTCGAATACGGAATTCGGCGGCCAGAACGCAGAATATGAATGGGATTGAGCCCAAACACTCTCCTCTGCTTTACCGCACAACTGATTTTAATCCACAATCACTAATGGGTATTTTATTGGGTATTTAGATATGAGCAACTACCAGTGATCTTGGAGCCCCCCACCTCCTCTTAGAGCTTTGTGGTCTCTATCTCTGGGTCAGTATATCTGATGATACACATTAGTAGGTTTACATGTTTTTTCTTGCATGTTTGCACTTTGTCTTTATTGCATTTTTCTATTTCATATAAAAAAATATTTTTATGTGCAGTACTTATTGGTGTGCTTTGGGTTTATCTGTGATTTTATGGACCTGGATGGGTTACAGGTATGTTCTCATTAAGCCCACAGCACTTTAATAACTGCCTGCTTCACCAAAAATTAACCCACACTAGTTGAGCGCTTACTATACTATTGCTTGCAGCCCTATATTTGACTGTAACTTTCTAAAACCCCATAAAACCTTTACATGGGGAGGGGGTACTGTTCACTGAACACAAATATGTGTGCTTTATTGCAGTAAAAATTGGTTTATGACATTCACAGTTAAAATACCATGTAGGGGAAAAAAGTGTGAGTGTATTTTAATACGAAAGAGGTGAATTATGGTTGAACAGACAGCGCAAATTTTGTTTTGATCATAACTTGTACAATTGTCTCCGTCCTGAAAGTGTTAAAGTTCCATTAACAGAGTAGGAGAACTTCTAAAATTGTTCTACTAAAGTAAACGCTGTAAGCTGTGATTAAAAGTGTATATATATTTTATTTTTTCAATGGAGTCTGTGTGATCCACAGCCAAGGGAAGGTGTAACAAGGCTGCATAAATGGAAACAAAAGTAATTTTAACTCCTAAATGACAGGCTTCAAGGGAATGATCTATACACCAAAATAACTTCATTTTGTGAAAGTTGTTTATTTAGTGTCCTCAATAGCTCAAGGAATGCACTAAAGGGTAATGGGACAGAAACCACAATAGGGCACAGAATACAGGCTTGGGAGGTTTGAATTCCCTAAAAGTAAGTTGTGATTGGTCCACATCATGCTTGCGCCCACAAAACTTGTGTGGTATCAATGTGAGCCAGAAACTACTTGGGGCTCCTATTACCCCTTTAATAGTTTGCTCGCACCTCGATCAGTGCTCTTAAATACACTAAGTTTAATTAACTGTCCAGTCCTCCAAAGCCAGCCAATGAGAAGTCTTAAAGAGAGGGGAGGCAGAGAGGAATTCAGGTGAAGATTATCAATTGCAAAACTAACCTATACGCTTGCTCTCAATCTAATTAGCAACATATGTAATGTATGTAAGTGATCCTGAGTGCCTGGACTACGTTTATTGTTTTACCATTGGAGTAGGGATAGCCAGTAGTGATGTGCATGGGGAAAATTTTCGGTTTGGCATTCCGAAATTCAGGACTTTGGCATTTCGGAACTTCTCTTGCAGCCGCTTGATAGATAACTCCCTAATTCCCATGGTATTAGGGAGTTATCTACCAAAAGGCTGACAAGCCCCTCACCCGTGACGCGTGAGATTCAGGCTTTTAACCTAAAGGGGGGACCAATTGTCCTCCACCCTGGCCCCCGCCACTGAGCGGTGGGTGGGGGCCCTAAGTTAGAATAAGGGGGGTGACCTATTGTCATTCCCCTACCCCTAAGTGGTGGGTGGGGGCCCTAAATACCAATAAGGCGGGGGAACTATTGTCCTCCCCCCTCTGGCTCCCATCCCAAAATAAAAATTTAAACCCCCCCCCAAGTTTAAAAATGTAAACTTGGTACCTGTAAAAACAAAAACAAATTACCATTTGATTGCTTCTTTTTTTTTCTTAAGTCGTCTTTTTTTTCTAAAATCTTTTTTTTTTCAGACCCCAAAATGGCCAAATAAAAATCCATAATAACCGTCACACTTTGGGGGAAAAAAATAAAAACCAGAGCGCAAAAAAAATATAAAGACTTGCCCCGTCCTGCAATTAGGCTGAGAGCACTCTGGCTGGTTAAAGCCATCCAATCAGAGTGCTCTGACAGGTAAGTCTTTACATTTACCGGTCACAGCACTCTGATTGGTTCTTCCCACGCTGTGTAATTTGACTCCTAACTCTCTGGTTACTTTCAATTAACCAATCAGAGTGTTGTTATGAGTCAAATAAAACCGCGTGGGAAAATTCCAAAGAACTTTCCCACGCTGTGTAAAATGACACAGAGCACTCTGTCTTTTTTTTTTTTTTTTAATTTTTTTTTTTTTACGGTGAGCAGCTGACTGCTCACTGTTTAATAGAAATGCCCCTACTCGCAGTATAGCGTGTAGGGGTATTATTTACTAATACTAAGTAATCTCTACTTAGTATTAGTAAATATGGCTGAAAGACCATTTTAGGTCTTTCAGACTTTTAGTATAGCTCCCTAATACCGTGGGAATTAGGGAGTTATCTACTTATTCATTTGTCATTTCATTGACTGGCTAAGTAACTTACATTTTATATGAATGTGTATTACTTGATTGTTGTTGTATGCTTACAGTCCTGGCTATGTTTGTATACTTTTTTATTTAAACTTGTATACTGTGTAACATTCTTCATTCTTCCACTGGGTAGGTATATTAGTACTTCGGAACTTTGGCAATTCAACTATTCGGACATTCGGAAGTATCCGAATGTCTAAAATTTGTCCAAATTGACATTCGTAATGAAACAAATTGCACATATCTATTAGCCAGCGCCAGGTCTGGATGCACAAGGACCAGATAAGAGTATGGATTCCTCCTTTTGTTGGTTCTTGTAAATATGGGCACATCCATTGAATGAATACCATGGAATAGTAGTATGGTTTCTTTTGTACCTTTTTTTTTTTTTTCTAGATTTGCTTACTTTTTGTAAATGTTGTTAAATTATATTTTTGACTGTATTTCTTTAATTTAGAAAACTTAATTGCTGCAATTTTTTTTTTTTTTTTAACAGGGTTTCTGCCTCCTATCACACCCCCAGAAAAGTTCTTTCTCTCCCAGCTAATGCTGGCTCCACCAAGGGAACTATTTAAAAAAACACCGAGGCAGATTGCTGTGATGGATGTTTCAAACCTGGGCCAACCAGTGGATATTAGTGGCCTTCAATTGGCTCTTGCAGGTAAAAAAAAAAAAAAAATAGTAGACCTTTTTTTCCACATATTCCCTTATGTGACTTCCATCTTGTAGTTTGAAAAGGTAATCAATATTGGTTTATATACTTCTGAAGGTTTTATAGATGTTTATATGTATGTCACACAAAATTTGTTTAAATATTGACTGTTAAATTGCATTGATGTTCTCTTTCCAGAACGGCAGTCTGAGCTCCCAACTCAGAGTAAAGCCAGCTTCCCCAGCATCTTAAGTGATCCTGACCCAGACTCCTCCAATTCAGGATTTGACAGTTCTGTAGCATCACAAATCACAGAAACATTGGTCAGTGGACCAAAACCTCCCATTGAAAGTAAGTTGTATACCTGCTTAGCAATAAAATGCAGTATTCTGTTCACTGTTCATATGGTGTAGTGATTACATCCTGTATTCAAGTGTATTGGAGAGATGCCATGCATTTCTGCTGGTTATAAAAAAGACTGATCAGGCTGCAGTCCACTACTCTTCCCCTTACTCTTGATTTATTGTGAAGATAATGGGTTAAAAAAAATTGGATTGATTAGCTGTTCTTGGAAAACTCTCCTAACTCTGGTTTAATAGAAACTTGGCTATTTTAGCACTGCCAGGTAAAGATAAATTCTTTATAAAATAATCCTATTGATTGTATTGGAATTTTACTGTCCAATCAGACCTCCCAGTGCAGCTCAATGAGAAGTCTTTGCAAGGCAGGCAGCTTTGAAGAATTGTCCCCTTTTAGATTTAGTTCCAGTGAGCAAAACAACCAGGAAGAGAAGTAGCAGGTGCAGTTGTCTGACAGTCACAGGGTATAAATGCAAAGATGCACTTTGTTTTCAGTGACATTTCAATTGTCTGAACAGAATTCTGGCTATGTGACCTCTCCTTGAATGTGTAAAAATACAATTGTTTACTTTTAAATAAGTGTAAAATAAATCCACTTTACTTGCTTTCCCTATTTTTAGGTCATTTCCGGCCAGAGTTTATTCGTCCCCCTCCACCACTTCACATCTGTGAGGATGAACTGGCATGGTTAAACCCAATAGAGCCAGATCATGCAATCAAATGGGACAGATCAATGTGTGTGAAGAACAGTACTGGAGTGGAGATAAAGCGCATCATGGCAAAGGCATTTAAAAGCCCCTTGTCCTCTCCGCAACAGACACAGGTAAGAAACGTTTGTGTAGTATCTCTGATAGAAGTGTTCCTTATGATAGATTCGTGACCATGTACAACATCATTTGAAAATATGAGATGGTCATACTGAAAGACCAATTTGATTAATATTTTTCTTATCTCCGAACCCTCCCTTCTATTTGCTAATTTAATCCCACAATAGGTAATGTAATCCCCTGGAGTTTAGTGTGGCAGTACATTACTGTAGGGATTCATCAACAGAATCTGCCTCTCCTTTAATTTATTTATTGCCAATTAAGTACTGAGGGGGCTGCAGCTCCTCCCAGTCTCCCTGTAGAATTTGCGCACTTGGACATTTTTCAGGATGTGTATCTAAATTGCACTCAAATTGTAATTTGAATCTTATTTGGGTATTACAGGATTTTGCAATTTGGAGCCACACATTCTAACTTGTTTCTTTACACTCCTTACAGCTTCTTGGAGAATTAGAAAAAGATCCTAAACTGGTCTATCACATAGGCCTTACCCCTGCCAAGCTTCCAGATCTGGTGGAGAACAACCCTCTGGTGGCAATAGAAATGCTTTTAAAGTTAATGCAGTCAAGTCAAATCACAGAGTATTTTTCAGTGTTGGTTAACATGGACATGTCATTGCATTCCATGGAAGTTGTAAACCGGTAAGTGTTATCTCCATTTAGCTTTTTGTGTGTGTGAATTTGAGGAAACCATTATTCAAATGTTTTTTTTGTTTTTTTTTATGTACCTCTTCTGTTGGTATACAAAATGAAGCTTAAAGGAGCACTCTGTACACCAAAACAACTTGGTCTCAATGAAGGTGTTACGTTCTCTGAACATTTTGGATACAATGTTACCTAAAGTAAGGTTCGGGGGATTAAGGGAAAGGGGTTGAACTTGTGTCGGGGCTCCCATACTCAGAGTACTTCTGCCAGGTCAGCTTCCTAGCGGCTATCAGGGACCCAGGAACACTTCAGCCCCAGTCACGAAAGCTTGACTGGAGTCGCTGAGGACTTTTTCCACCCTGGATCAGGCTACAGCGGTCTCCTTCCAGGCAGGTATCATCCCCTCTGCCTTTGCCTCTTCAGCTACTGCCTTTACAAATGCACTTGTGGCTCTCAGGCCTGGATCTTTTTTTAACTTGTCCTGGGAATTGGGGAGTAAAGCAAAGCAGCCAGTCAACAGGTCCAAAACTCTGTATCCTGGTTGGTTTAATCAGGGATACTTGTAACAAAGTTCCCAATGGAACACAAACACTAATTCTTTGTTATCATTTGAAATGTGATGAAAAGCATTTAAAATACAAATCAGAGAGAACATGCAATTCTAATTAATGCAAAAATATAACACAAGTAAAACGTTCAAACCCAATAAAATGCAACAATACATAAATTTAACTACCTATTTAGTTGCCCTAATTTGCATACCAGCATTATGTACATTTTCACATTTCTATTCAGTCAGCAGGAGGCGCTGCAGAGTTATCAAACTAACACTCATTGTCTGTATATCAAATGCTCCCATCACAAGACCCTTTCAGGGGCTCTTGGGAGCAGGCCCAAAGTCTGTGGGTTAGAGGCTGGCCTTCAAGCCTCTCCAGAAGGCTATGTCACGGGTGATTCTGTCACACAATTGTTTACCAATGTCCTCACCATAACACTGGCTCCCAGTCTGATGCTTCTTCTAAGAAGCCAGGCACTGAGGCAGAAAAAGAGGGGGTAAACTGATGAGTGCCGTTTGAATTGTTATACATATTAAAGGAACACTATAGCATTGGTAATTCAGATTTCTATTTCGTCCGCTACAGTGTTCCTATCCATGGACCTAATATGCATGTGTGACAAATGCAAACTTTTCCTTTGGAAAGAACTAAATCAAAGCCTTCCTATGAGGCTTCTGTGCCACATGACCGAGTTATACTCTGGAACGGGAAATGACCTTCCCCCAAACTGTTGCCACAAAGAAAAATAAATTTAAATGCCGGCTCTGGGGCTAAAATAACAATGTTGAATCTATAGCAGAGAATGTTTACAGATTAGCTCTTGGCAGGGCCCCCACTCATTTTTATGGAAATTATTTGGTGCCGGGACATGTAGATTATCATGATGGACAAGTAAATTGGGCTGCCGCTTTAAACCCATGGACAAGTTAAAAAAAAATTAATAATCCATAACCTTGTGGAGGCTGCAAAGGCTGAACTCAATAATTAGTAGGGGTGTCCACATACTTGCAACAAACTTTCGTGCAACTGATGTGGGACCTTAAATATAAACTCTCACATTACAACTACACAGGTTTTAGCTGAAAAAATTATAAAAATAATAAACATAGCTGCAAGTTGCAACAGATTTGTACTTGATACCAAATGTATCTAAAATTATATAAAAAATAGAGGGAAGGAGCGGAGAGAGGGGTTGTGCAATAAAACCAATCTTTATTCCAAATAAGACAGACAAATAACCATAAACAGTTCTCTGTAAGCGATATAATACAGCACAGAAAATAGACCAGTTAGCCAGACTGGGTGCAACTTTGCTATGTGGAGCAAATTAAGTGGTAAAACGTATGTTATCAGGAATTGGTGAAGCTCCATCCTCGTACACGTTTCCATAACGAAAGACAGATCAGTACCTCCGTGTTAGTATATTCTTTTGATATCACTAGTTTCAACTCTGTTTAGAGAAGGTCAAGGGACTCTGTGGAATATAGCCGTTGACATAGGTACTGGTGCATCGCCATATGTGAACTAAGGGTTTTATCGGAGCCAGCCCAGTTTATATGCAGTTTTTTGGAAAATGTCCTTTATATCCATATACCAGTTTTACAACATTCAGTACCTGCACATATACATTGTGTGGCAATTGTATTGGATGAGTGCCTTTATACAACTTTACCACTCCGTTTGAAAACTTGAAATATACATCAATAATTTTTTTAAATTTTTTTTTTTTTTTTTTTTGTGTGTGTGTGTGTGTCTTGCAAACACCTAATACTTAGCATATTAGATATGACTGGTACATCATCAGTGTTCAACCGTGGCAAATAAAAGTGCAAATATGAAGTTTTTACAGTACTTTGTTAGCCTTGGAATTCTAATACATGCTGTATGTTTCAAACGAAGATCATAATTTTATAGCATTATAACCATCTAATATGCAGCACTTTATAATATATAACTGGGACATGATCAGTGCATTACCGTTTGTGGCAAATCTAGGTGTAAATAATCATATATCTAGAGTAACTGACCGGCCAGGAATCTATATGGGCAATCAGGCTAGCGCCACGTGCACATTATACCTCCCGCATAGGGAAACATCGATTCAATGTTTTTCAATGGAGGATTTGAAGATACTGGACGTCCTCATGCAAAGCATCTAGTGTTGTTTCATGGTTAAACTCTGTGAAACTGGAGAAAGCCTCTCTAGTGGCTGTCAGGTAGATGGTAAGTAGAGGCAGTATTAACCCTGCAATGTAAACATTGCAGTTTCTTTGAAACTGCAATGTTTTACATTGCATGGCGAAGGGGATTGGAACACTGCACCCAGACCACTTCAATGAGATGAAGTGATCTGGGTGCCTATACTGTCTCTTTAACTACTCAAAAGGAATATGCATGACTTTGCACAGTACAGAAAAAGTGATCAGCCTTATGTGGAATGTTTTAAAAAAAAAAAAAAAATACACAAATAAAAATGATCCTTACCCTTGAAATATTTCGGTATGGCATAATGTATAAAAAGAAAAAAACCAAAGTGTGATATTATATATTCTAAAGTGATATTAAAAACCACTCACATTTGCAAGAGCCTAAAGAAGTGACTCAGTAGATTGTCTTTGTGCTTTTTGTGCAGCACCACACCTTCATTTAATGACTCGAACTCTCAAATCAGACAGAGAGAACACACCAATAGTATAGACTGTATAAAAAGCACACAGTTGATAAAATGATATTAATCCACTCACCTTAAACAGGCCAGGAAACAAAGCCTTTAGATTCCCGGTTCTGAGGTTAAAAGATATTGTACCTGGGAATCAGTGGTGACAACAGTGGAGCTTAGAACAAGTTAATAAACATCCAGTTGATAAAACAAAAAAATTGTTTTAAAAGATGTCCCAAAAAAGTTGATGACAAGACACGTTTCTCTTCTTCTAGCTTCTTCAGTTGCTAGATTAAAAAAACAAAAAAAAACTAGCTAACAATGTTACTAACAAATGGCAGAAAGGTACTACTCTGACTAGCAAATGTGAAATACCAAGACATTGATACAGCCACATTTTATTGTAACCTTTCATTACAAGCTACATTTAAGAAAAAAAACATAAAAAAATAGGAACACAGCAAAAATAACCAGAACGTTAACCCCTTAAGACCGGAGGGCGTAATATTACGTCCCATTTTAGGCGGCTCTAAACACCGCCGGGCGTAGTAGTACGCCTTCTGGTTTTTTGTTACTTACCCGGTCGCCGACGATCGCGGTTGGGGGGACTCCCAGGGAGGACCTCACAATCACATGGCAGGGTTAGCTGCCTGCTGCATTGCCAGCACGGGGGCTGCCTGGAAATAAAATATAGTTAAATTAATAAAGTGTAAAAAAAAAAAAAAAAAATTATATACTTGGATCATATATATATGTGTGTGTGTGTGTGTGTGTGTGTGTGTGTGTATATATATATATATATATATATATATATATTTATATATACATACACACACATACACTGTCTAGGTTTATTTTACTATTAAAATATATATATAATTATTGATAGATATATATTTATATATAATATAATTTTTTTTTAAATACGTTAAAAAATTTAAAATAAATAATTAAATATATAGATGTTATTTCGTTCTAACTGTATTGTGATATTAATATATATTTATATCAAAATACACGTAGAGCGAAATAAAATATATATATATAAATATTTTAAAAAAAATTATACATATATTAATTCCACATATATATCTATGTAATATTTTTACATAATTAGGTATCTTAATTACAATTAGCGGGACCTGCCTGACAACCCATGCCAAAGGTATAGGGAATTTAATTTGCTAGCACTATAATTAAAACTATAACTTTCCAAGACACCATAAAACCTGTACATGGGGGATACTGTTCTACTTGGGAGACTTCGCTGAACACAAATATTAGTGTTTCAAAACAGTAAAATGTATTACAACGATGATATCGCCAGTAAAAGTGAAATTTTTTGCATTTTTCATGCACAAACAGCACTTACACGGACGATATTATTGCTGTGATACTTTTTGCTGTTTTGAAACACAAATATTTGTGTTCAGCGAAGTCTCCCGAGTACAACAGTACTCCTCATGTACAGGTTTTATGGTGTGTTCAATAGTTACAGCGTCAAATATAAGGCTTGTGTTTCATTTTTTTCACATTAAAATTCGCCAGATTGGTTAGGTTGCCTTTGAGACCCTATGGTAGCCCAAGAATGAAAATTATCCCTATGATGGCATACCATTTGCAAAAGAAGACAACCCAAGGTATTGCAAACGGGGTATGTCCAGTCTTTTTTTTAGTAGCCACCTAGTCACAAACACTGGCCAAAATTGGCGTTTTTTTGCATTTTTCACACACTAACAAATACTAACGCTAACTTTGGCCAGTGTTTGTGACCAAATGGCTACTAAAATAGACTGGACATACCCCATTTGCAATACCTTGGGTTGTCTACTATTGCAAATGGTATGCCATTATGGGTGTAAATTTCATTCCTGGGCTACTATACAGTCTCAAAGGCAACATAACCTATCTGGCGAATTTCAATTTCAAATGTAACGTGCTATATTTGACCCTGTAACTTCCCAAAACGCCATAAAACCTGTACACAGGGGGTACTGTTTTACACGTGAGACTTTGCTGAATACAAATATGTGTATTTTATTGCAGTAAAGGCTAACAGTATAATGACATTGACAGTTAAAATGTCATGTAGAACTAAAAACAAAATCTTATTTTCTCCCATTTTTTTTCATATTAAATTGTTTCACAGCTAAATATTTGATATTAAATGAAAGCCCTGTTTCCCCTGAATAAAATGATATATAATAAGGGTGGGTGCATTTACTATGAAAGAGGTGTATTACGGTTGGACAGACATGTAGCGCAAATGCCAGGTTTTGTTTACATTTTGTTTTGTTCACAACGTGTACATTTGGCTCTGTCCTTAAGGGGATAACGCACGCTGTAGGCCAATAGGATGAAATAAGGGCACAAACTGGTGCTGCAGTTGTGAACAGTATTATTATTTTTATTGCCTGTTAGAGGGCTGGACAAAAAGTTCTTAAGGCAATTAAAGTATCACTATAGGCACACAGACCACTTTAGCTCAATGAAGTGGTCTGGGTGCCAGGTCACCCTTGTCTTAACCCTGCAGCTGAAAACATAGTAGTTTAACTGCTGTGTTTACATTGCAAGGCTAAGCCAGCTTCTAGTGGCTGTCTCCCTGACCGACAATAGAGGCACTTCCGCGATTTACACAGAGTAAATAGCACTTATTTGACGTCCTCACGGAGTAAAGCTTTCCTATGGGCGGGTTTTAATGCCCGCGCCTCTGGCTGCGCATTCGTCTCCACTTGGGAGCTGGCATTGATGGAGATGTCACCAGTGCCTGAGGGAGCCCGGCGCCGGATTAAGGTAAGCAAATAAATGGTTAAGTAACCCTTTATTCGCCGCGGAACGGGGCCCTAGTCACCTAAATGGTGACTAGGGCTCTATAGCGTTAGGAATACATATTTGTATTCCTAATGCTATAGTGTTCCTTTAAAGTTTTTCATTCAGTTTACTGTAGTGTGTGAGCAAGAGATCTCCCCTATGAACAGTAATTTTTGGTTTTCGATTTGAAATTCACTTTGAATTTCCAATAATTCTCACTTTTTTGTGAATAACCCTGACCACTTGTGACAAATTCACTTAAAACATGTTTTAGTCTTTTAACTTGGGCTTATTTCTATATATAGAGCCCGAACCTCTAGGATAATTATCGGGTAGTTCTCCAACTAACTAAAATTATTCAAACAGAATGTCACATTGCATATAATATCAAACAAATGTATTCATTCATACTAAAGTGAAACACACAAATACACCTAGTGAAAAAATAAATATATGGATATACTCTTCTGAAATGCTGTATACACCAGGACTACTCCAGATCCTCAAGACCTATTACAAAGAGCAAGGCAAATACTTTTATTTCAGTATCTCGTAGGGTAATAAGCCCTCAAACTGATATCTGCTTTAAAATTCATAAATCGTAAATAATTAAAGGCATATCACAATCTCTCTCATGCACTTCCAAACACATAATATCAGAACTGCTCACCCCCTCCTGATTGTACCCCATGATGTACAGCGTCCACTAATCAATCTGTAGATCCACAACTACACCAACAAAATCCAAAATGAAATTAGTGCTTTGCATAGACTACTTAAGTGACAGCTAATCTTTAAATGGCAGTGTTACTTTGGCATCCTAAGCAGTTTGGGAATTGTACTTACAGACCTAAATTCCAAGTTATACATATAATTTCAGCAATCAACTTAAATATCTGAACACCCTCTAAACCATTTTATTCCCCCAGGCTTACTACTGCTGTGGATCTTCCTCCTGAATTCATTCATCTTTATATCTCCAATTGCATATCTACATGTGAGCAGATTAAAGACAAGTACATGCAGGTATGCATTATAGGACAATGTCCTTCTCCCCCCCCCCCCACCCTCTTTTTTTTCTTATAAAAGCTGTTTTAGTGATCATGCCTCAAGAAGGCAAACGATACTTACTATTTTCGTGTTTTTATAGAATCGCTTGGTAAGGTTGGTGTGCGTCTTCCTGCAGTCTCTGATTAGAAACAAAATCATCAATGTTCAGGATTTGTTCATAGAGGTCCAGGCTTTCTGCATAGAATTCAGCAGGATACGAGAAGCTGCTGGCTTGTTCAGACTGTTGAAGACGTTGGATACAGGAGAAAATCCAGCAGAGGCAAAACCTGCAAAATAGGACTTGCACCGACCTTTCATTTGTCAGTCGAACTGTTTAGATTGTTGATATCTTGTACATTATATGCTTTCCATGTTGTGTGTTTTTCTTTTTGTTTTATTTTTTTTAAATTCATATACTGCTAGTAAACATTGCTAGCCCATAATACTTCACAACATTGTAAAAAACATTTTCACCAAACTAGACATGTCTTTTGGTTATTTAGCAAGCATATCTACCGTAAAAAGAATGGCTTTATTTTGTGTAAAATATTTACCAACATCAGAGGATGTGGTTTTCTGTACAGACCGATGCATGTTGACTTGCATAAATCAAATTATGTACAAGTACTTTATCCTTTTTAATTACCAGAACATTTTGTAAGGTGAGTTTCAGTGAGGTGAAGGCTTTAAGATACAACCAGAACACACATTTTAAATTAAAATGTTCGTTACGATTTGCAGTTATTTTCCTGCTCTTGAGTGGTTTTTCACTTCTGACCTAAAGCAACACTTCTAGATATAAATATACAACAATTTCAAATCCATTGTTATATTAACAATGATGGTAGTGTAAACAAAAAAGCTTTAATTATGTCTATTTCCTATATAGTTAGTCACAGCACATAAAGGCTCCGATACCATATTCTGATTGATGGCGTACATTTTTAGACCATTGCCATAATTTTTGTCAACCATTTGTGATACTCAATACATTAGGTCTGTGTTTTTATAGATACAGATCATACATTTTTTTTTTTTGCTTGTATATAATGCTTTTAAGCAATTTATTTCTTGTAGTATATCAAAATGTACTTCAGATGTAAGATGTTTGGAAGTGTAAGTATACTTACAAGTATTCAGCCTTGTGTGGTTCTATGTAAAGTTTCACTTATAGTTGGTTTCTTAAACATGTTTGTTGAGAAGCTGTATAATAAATAAGGGAAACAAACCTTTTGTGGTTTTCTGTGTCTTCTAGAACTTTAAAAAAAAAAAAATTAAATATTTTTTTTAATTTATTTTTTTAGTATGTCTCCCACATGCACTTTTAGGAGAAACCATGTGTGATTTACAAATTGTACACTAGTGGAAATGAAGCATGTGTTTATTGTGAAGCAGAAAATGTGTGTGCTTTACAAACCATAACTTATAAATTATGTATTAGTGAGGCAGGAGAGTAACAGCCTTAATGTGTGGAATTACACAAACTAAATGACGCCCAAAGCATCAAAAATGGGGCTCACCATTGACTGGCTTATACGTTTAAGCATGTGCCAAGTTTTGTATTGGAATATAAGTAGAAATGCAGTTCAAAATATATATGATCTAAGAAAAATCTTTGCTGGAATAAAAAAGAAAAATGCGCACACACAAACAAACCACTAAGCTTATAGTGCATGACAGTCCTTTTTCACAAACATGAAAAAAGTTGTTTTGGTTGGCCTTGCATTATAGGGACCATGATGTATTTTTATGGGGTTCTATTTATGCATCGAAAATAGTTTTTAGAAAACCACTAAACTGTTTGACTTGCTTTGTCTGGTTAAAAAAAAGTCACATGTTTTGCATACAATGTCCAAATCGCTTAATCAATTTTAACCATTAGTGACGGAGAAATTACTGACCATTACAGTAAGTCAATAACAGAATAATAGAGGACTTTTTAAAGGAAGTTTGAATAGAAAAATACTTATTTTAAGTTCAAAAATAAGTGTTTATATACTTGTAGAAATGTGAGTCTTAACTGCAGTAAATACATGATGGTGTATAGTGTGGATTTGGCATCCAACCCCAGATAATTTTTATTTTTTTGCGTAGTATTACACCAGTGCTTGTATAGCCACAAGAGCTTTCACAAGCGCGATATTATTGGTACACCAGTATGGCATGCATAGAACTTGCACATTTTTAACATTTAGTGTATTGTAGAAACAAGCTGAATTAATGGTTCTCCGTAGGGAGACTTGCTCTGTATGTGTAGATCATACATGCTAGACAGGCATGCATAGGTTGAGTTAGCATATAGTAGTATGTTATCTGAGGAGGTCTAGGCATAGGAAGAAGGATTTTAAGCTTTCTGTCATCTTAGGTCAAAGCAGGCTGAGTAAGACTAGCGGTGGTGTCATCAAGAGTGTTTGTTGCATAGGGGTTTGGATGTGTAGTGTAAAATGTTTCTCCGTGTAGATCACATGTAGCATCTGACTGAGTGAACACTAGGAGTAACTTAATACCAGAGTGTGTAAGTACAGGTGTAACCAATGAGCCAACCCCAGATATGTGAGGGTGTAACAGGACAGCAACTTAAACAATTATTTGTTTCTATTTTGAATATATATTTTAATTTGTGTCCACGCTTTCTGACTAGAATAGCATGCCAATATGCTAAATATATTTTCAATATAAGCAATACATAGAGACTGCAAATGATTGGTTCTACAGCTATTGAGGAACACCTGTCTTATTATACATCATCTGTGGTTAATGTATCGTAAGAAATGTAGTTTTGAACTGCCTTCTTTAGGGGCAGATGTGGAAATAAGGCATTGTTTTGCTCATAGCAGGACAATGTCTTTGGAGGTTTGAACTTTGGACATGAGGTTTGTACTCTTTGACATGGGTTCTTGGTGGCATCCACAGGGAACAGCATGATAGGCATAATTAATCTTCACAACAACCCTGGGCCACTGCACTCCATGCAGCAATGTGATCATTTAGAGGTATTTGGATAATATATAAAGGCCCCAGAAGGTGGCAGACCTGGTTTATTGATTTGGTGCAATATTTTAGCCCCCCTGGTAAAAAGTCTGATCAATGGTGGCTTTAAAAAGAGAGAGAATTCATGCAAACTCCTACAATGGATGCCCGGCTCTCAAAGCAGTCATTTATTAATGGATATATTCGATACACACTAACCGAATGCAGACAAACCAACCTGCACTGCCCGGTATTTGGGGCAGCTCGCATTTATCCAACCCCGTACGAAAGTGGTTCACAGGCAATTGAAATGTATACGGACCACGCCACGATATCAACTTTCACTATAAACTGTTATCTTCATATGCATCCCCTCTGTATGTATACCCTACTTTATGTGACAAACTGTTACCTTTTTACCTTTCCCCTGTCATGGTGGGCGCACACACCAAATGTTTGTACTCACCTTGAAAATTTAAAAATAAAGAATTAAAAAAAAAAACAAAAAACACATGCCTTCCTCACATTTGTTTTTTTGCTGTTGATCCAAAAGAAGGCAATAAAACCCTAACTGAAAGTACCTCCAATTTTGCAACTAACTAGAAAAAAATAAATAAAAAAAATCTTATTTATCCTTGCATCAAGAAGCTATTTCCCTATAGTTGAAAAATTAGATCATTGACTATTATGTTTTTGCAAGCATGCATCTAGTTGCTTTTTAAACATCTGTACAGACTCTGATAAAACCACTTCTTCAGACCGAGAATTCCACATCCCTATTCTTACGGTTAAAAAAAAAAAAAAAAAAACCTCTTTCCTTTGCCTTAAACTAAATTACAGAATTTTGCTATTTCATGACGAAAAGTCATATTGTTTAACCCTTTCTTTACTGTCCACCAATAGCAGCAAAGAATACAAACCGTAAAAAAAATTTGGTAACCATAGTAATAGACCACGCCCATACCAAGTCCCAGTATAATAGTCCGCACCTCACCACACAATTCCTCTTTCTTTGGAGATGCGACACCAAACCAGCAAACAGGAACCGATGAACAGTCCAGAACACAGCAGAACAAAACGTCCCGAAATCCAGCCGGATACTCATCAGGAACCATCCGTGAACTGGGACTAAACCATCAACAAGTGACAAAGCGTCAACGATAAGGAGTCCATCACAGCACTATCCAATGTGGTGAAGTCGTGGTGAAGAACATCTCCAGCCAACGTGGTGAAGTCTTGGGAAGAAGTAAGGATCTCTATACAGCACCAACAGCACTGCTACAACCTGTGAAAACATAAAAACAGGAGCTCAACCGTTAAATCAGTACTAAAACCAACTGCTCATGCCCAGACATAATGTATTGATATACTGAAATAACACGGTGCCCCTAATATCAGATAAAAGAAACCACCACCCGGCAAACATAACATTAACAGTACGGATGCACATAAAAAGGCAATACCATGCTGAACTCAGTGCAATACTTACCAACCAGAGATATAACTCTGGGGGAATACAATGATAGAAAAATAATAGGGTGGGACAATACTCACCTCCGTGTCTTTCATAAAATCATGACTTTTCGCCATGAAATAGCAAAATCATGTAATTTTATGTCAAGACACGGAGGCCCATATTGCAAGTTTAAAGCTGATCAATAACAGAAGAGAAAACATGTGGCGGAGGCCGATAGTAAAATTCTCTGAAGGTGGATTCGCGGGACCTGTCCGCCATCCTCATCAGGTCTTCCAGACAAGCTCCCGAAGACACCATAGATGTGGCTGAAGCCCCTCGTGCGGAGTGAGTGCTAAATATGGATGATTCCACGCCGGCCAGTGACTTCACCCAAAGAGCCAAGGTAGTGCTGGACACGGGGGCGAAGGGTTGACGAATCGAGAGAAAGAGCTGAGGTGACGAGACCGAACGATGGGCACTCGTTCGTAGCTCATATTCTCTCAAACAGGTCACTGGACATAACGCCGGGGTAGTTGGAAAACTTGGATACGAATTAATCGTGCGATATGCCTGACCAGCCTCGAATAACAAAGTGAGGAATTGGAGTATCGCCGTCACAGGTGCCGAAACGGGATCCAAGTCCCGAGCCAGGCACCAGCCAGTCCAAGCTCTCCAAGAGGTCCCATATGATCGTCTAGTTCCGGGAGCCAATGCGTCAGCCAGGAGGCGTTGAGTTGCATCCGAAACTCCTTGGATTTCCCAGGGGCCCCAGAAATCCTCCATGCGAGCAGCAGCAACAACGAGCCATCTAGCAGGAGTGGGTGTCGTTGGCCCAACGGGTCCCGCAGAAGTCTGGGTACATCTATCGCCAGTTCCAGGAGCTGTGGGAACCATGACTGGGTCCACCAGAATGGAGTCAGCAGGACCAAGTCTGCCATCTGGCCTTGGAGTAGAATCCGAGGAATCAAGGCAAATGGAGGGAAGGCATAAATGGGTTAGTCGTTCCAGTCTTGCAGGAAGGCATCCACTGCCTCCGTGGCTGGATCTGGGCACCAGCTGTAGAATCGAAGTAGTTGGGCGTTGAGCCGGGAAGCGAAGAGGTCGATGGCAAAAGGTCCCCAGAGAGACGAGGTAGTGGAGAACACCTCTACATCCAATTTCCAATTGCTGTTGTCCGACAGATAGCGTGAACTCTAATCCGCATGGGTGTTGTGGAGACCAGGGAGGTATTCCGCCTGGACGATCAGATTCCTGGCCAAGCAATAGGCCCAGAAGTCCTTTGCCAAGCGGGCCAGAATAGCTGAATGCGTGCCGCCCATGTGATTGACATAGCGAACTGCGGAGATGTTGTCCATGCGCAGTCGGATGCAGCACTGGGCACCCCAACCGTGGAGACTTGCGTCTGAATCCACCGTGAATTCCGGTTGGGAATCGAAGATGGCCTTGCCATTCCAAGCGGATAGGTTGTGGATCCACCAGGTGAGCTCGTCTCCGGTTTCCGCATCCAGGGAAACCAAGACAGCATAGGATGCCCCGTTGCGAAGATGTGCTCTCTTCAGACGCTGGAGGGCACGATAATGGAGAGGGGCTGGAAACACCGCCTGAATTGAGGAGGCCAGTAGGCCAATGATCCGTGCCAGATGACGCAGCGACAGCTGGGGGCATGCTAGGGCGCGGCGTAGTTCCTTGCGGATAGCTCGTATCTTGGCCGGAGGGAGGCTGAGAGATTCCGCTTCTGAGTCTACCTTGAACCCGAGGAACTCCATGCATCACGAAGGGGACAGGCAGGATTTCTCCCAATTGAGGAGGAAACCCAGGCGAGAGAGTAGATCCATCATCCACTGTA